AGTTATATATATATATATATGTAAACACATACACATACACATCTGTCTTGTAGTGGACACCCAAAACTTGAACCAGGAAGATATGAGGAGACCTCTCAAGTCCGACACGGGCTGTCAAGAAGGTCGATAGATCAGGGGTTCAGGGTTCAGGGTTTTACGGTTTAGGGTTCAGGGTTTAGGGTTGAGGGTTTACGGCTCATTGTTTAGGGTTTAGGGCTTAGGGTTTAGGGTTCAGGGTTTAGGGCTTAGGGCTCAGGGAGCCAAGGACTAACCTAAACCACCAAAAGTCTAGTCTTGTGGTAAGTAGGAACTACTGGGGCTCCAATTTAGGGTTTAGGGTTTAGGGTTTAGGGTTTAGGGTTTAGGGTTTAGGGTTTAGGGTTTCTTGTAGGGATCGGGGCCATGGACCATGGACTAAGCAATCCCAAATCCTGAATAAGGATGGTCTTCTGGGGCCCAGTTCCATTATGGTAGTTCTTGTGGACCCTCTTTCATCATGCTGGTGACCCTAAACCCTAAACCCTAAACCGTATTTCAGTCCAAGCATCTTGAACTCTGAAATCGCCGACATTGTCAAGCCTCGGGAGGTGTTAGCTTCTGGATTTAGGGCTAAGGGCTCTTGTTGAGGGTTTAGGGTTGAGGGTTTAAGGGTTTACGGTTCAGGGCTTTATAGGGTTTTAGGGTTTGGGACTATAGGGGTTTATGGTTTAGGGTTTTAGGGTTTAGGGGTTAGGTAGGACCGGCGTTTTCATGAGGGATCCATCTATCAATCTATAAGTTAGGGTTTCAGTACGAACTACTCAGACCTCCATATCGGAGTGTTTGAAAGTGTTTGGGCGTTCTGAACCCTCTAACTCTGGGCGGGTCCATCTTATGCTTACATCCTCAAACTCCTTCAAGGCATAAACTCAGTATGCTGCTCCTCAATGTAGAAACTTGATAGGTGAACCCCCATACTTTAAGGGCCGCAATATTCATCTAATTAAAATCCCTGTGTGGGAAGCCACATACATGAAGGAGGTTCGCTAATCAGGCGTCTGCGTTATTGGAGGCTGCCAAAGCCGTTTCACAATCAGCTGTATCTACAACATCCCGGAATCCCAAACCCAATACCCTAAACCCTACAACCTAAACCCTGAACCCTGTACCCTTTAAACCCTGCACCCCTGAACCCTAACCACACCCTAAACCCAGAGCCCGGAACCCAGAACCCTGCAGCCTAATCACTACACTGTAAACTGTAAGCCCTGAATCACCCTAAACCAAAAAGCGTTCACTGAAGCCACAGCCGAAACGATGCGGCAAGTTGCGGTGCGAACTGGCCCGACCGGTGCTGCGACCGGATCCAGTTGCAAAAGTTCGCGGCCCCACGCTCCTCGCCGTGGAGAGCTTCCCAGGGAGCCCAATACCCGCTGATTAAGAAATATATGTTTAAATTCTAAGCGGCTTCATGTTATGGTTTAGCCTCTATTCCTTAAATAATCAATATCGGGCAGTCCAGGGTGCTTTGCGGTTTCCGGGTTTAGTGCTTTGGGGTTTTGAGGTGTCTTAAGACTATGCCACCAGGATGAATCGCGGATCCAGTGGGTTTGGGTTTTGGGCTGTACGAAGCTGCTGATTAACAACCCTTAGGCAAGTGCTCCTTACTGGGAGGGTCGGGAGACTTAGTAAGTAGGTATGTTGTAGAGTTATAGATATCCTAACCCCAATTCGGTTTCCTATCAGGGTACTTTTTTAGTATTGCGCACTTACTAAGTACAGACCGAACTATTTGGCATGGCGGAAACCTGCATATGCT